GAGGGGGGGGGGAATAAAACTACTAGAAGCAGACTAAGAGGAAATGTTGGATTTCAGAAGATATCAGCCTGAAGCAATTGAGGGCAGATCCACACCCGTCCACCAATTCCCAAAGTGATGAATCTCACGTGGTACACAGAGTAGGGGCTCCCTACTGCATGCCACTGGGAACCTTTAAAACCACCCAATGCCCTTCCAACTTGGCCACGGAAAGTTCCCAAGTCACCACTGACCTCAGTCCATCAGCTAACTTTCCTGTCTGTACCTATCCTGGGTCTCAGAGTTTCTGACTGAGTTCTTGTCCCAGATCAACTGCTTATTGAATATGTGACTTTGGGCACATGTCTCAACCTCTCTGAGTCCCAGTATCCTTATGTGGGTTGTAATAATGATGAAAGTACTAAAAATGACAGAACCACTAATAATAGCAACTCATTGTCTCACTGGTAGTATTTTTTCTTTTTTATTTCTGGGGATTATCTCTACCAAATACCAAGCAAGTTCCAGAGGAGACTCGCTAAATACTCACACACTTTTGAGACCATTTCTTATCCCAGTGTTGGTATCATTACTCAAGACTCTCATGTCCCACCAGAAACTCACAGAGAATGTTTGTCACCATGGCCTCTGTGATAACTCATTCCTTTGATTCCCAAATTCCGATCCTCTATAGAAAGATGGTGAGCAGCTGGGAAGAAAGCACAGGCCAAAGGAGATGGAGTTAATCTTCCTGAATGAAAAGAGGCTGGGATCTGCTATCCAAGTCTTATGCAGGATCTGGAAATGCGGATTTAACGATGTTTCCTTTTCACCATTTCAGACTCAACAACATATGCACATTTTCTGTTCAATGCATTTGATACGGACCACAATGGAGCTGTGAGTTTCGAGGTAAGCCCTAGATTATTTTCATATCATTTGACTTTGGACATGCTGAAAGAGATTTTAGTCTTCTTAGTGGGAAAACTTGAGTTTGGCGATTTCATCATTTTTGGACAGGGGAACAAAGCCCAAGAATGTTTCCCTTTACTCATGGAATTGCTGAGAAGCTGCCCTTATCTTTCAAAAGAAGTACAAATGACAACCCACACTTAGTTTATTTTCTAGTGTTTTATATCTGTTTGTACAAGGAAAGTCCATTTCCTTGACTGTATGTGAATATTAAGGCAAATGACTTAAACATTCACTGGCACCTACCCTGGGCCAGCCACTGTGCAGGCCCCATGGCACAAGGCCCAGTAAAGTGAGGCAGGCAGGCAAGAAATTAAATATATAGAAAAATACTATAGTCACCAGCCTGACAATTTTACAAAAAAATTATCTTCTTAAATTATGAACTTTAAGTGATCTATACAGGAAGCATGCAATTTTGTTCATGAAATACTTTATATTAGCTTGTAGTAAAATGAAATGTCATGGATATTCACATCACTGATATAGATAAAGATATAGATAGATGTAATTCATATGACTCATATGGGATATAACAGATCACAAATGACGATATATTCAATTCTAAATGTTAAGAGAGAAAACGAAATAGTAACTCTGATCAGTTGTGAGTACTTGTGTCCTTCATTTTTGTTGGAAAAACTATAAAAATATATATAACTCATCTATTGCTTATATTCTGAATGGCTATGCTTTGTCTCTGGGGAGTAGAATTATACATATTATTGCTTTGTAATTTCAGTTTCTGTCTTTAATTAAGATATATATACACACACTATATATGTACATCCACTTATATGGAAATGAAGTATATACAGTTAGTATATAGACACTCTACATATATACAAATATGTATATAAATGGAAATGGGGTAATTTGGGAGACACATCTTTGGGGAGTGTGGAAGGATGTGTCTTACACATGGTCAGAAATTTCAGCAAGGGCCATGACAAAGGAAAGCAGAGGCTGGAATAGGACAGGCAAGGAAAGGATACTGGTGTGACAGGGGTGTAGCAGAGAAGCCTGCCCAACGAAAGTATGATCCAGGTCTGAAGGACAAGCAGGAGCTGCTCAAGAGAATGAGGCTTGGAATGGGATAGGATAGGAGGTAGCAGGGAGAGAGGCAGATGCCAGGCAGGGTACATCAGGCTCTGGGAACCAAGACAAGGCATATGCAAATCATTGAGAAGACAATAAAAGTCTGAGCCAAGATTTTTGTAGGGAAGGAGGCAGAGGCCAGATCCTGACAAGTCTTTGGCAGGATGCTAAGGAGGTTGGACCACCTTGATGGAGATGAGGAGTCTGTGAGAGTCTTCAGCAGGGACATTGATTTATCAGTGCTATTTTCCTGGAAACACAGACGACAATTAGCCAGAGTGGATGAAAGCCTGAACTGCAGTAAAAGTATTGGAGAAGAGGTGGGAAACAAATTCAAAAGATACTAAAATGAAATTTGTAGAATTGTATTTCCACAAATCCCTCATGTTTAAGAAAATAAACATTGATATGCGCTTGAGCAGCTATCTAGATACAAGGGCTTTGTGGAGTCAGGATGAAAAAAGAAAGGTGCAGACTTCTGACTGGTCACTCAGGCAGTGGCCCCAGGAGCAAGATGACCAGGCACTACTAAAGGCCTCCTCACATATATAGTATACTCTGTACTCATGCAGACTAAGTGCCACTAATGCAAAGAGTCTGGGCCAGGAACCTCAAATGTTCATCTCACATATCTTAACCACTGAAGAGAAAAAAATCGAAACTGACAGAGATTGAGGGGAAGGTGTAAACAAAGCCAATACGGGACAGGCAGGTTTATCCTGGGTATGGAAGCAGGTGGTACCAGTCTCCTGCAGCATTTCTGTTGCTGGTGACAGCTTAGAACACCCATGATCCTATCTTAGCTCACACTTTGATAATATTGTCTTTTTGCTTGCTGCACTTTACTAACAAAATTAATTCCAGCACAGCCTTAATTTAGCTATAATATAGAAGTCAAGGTTTTAATTCACCTAATGAAAACTTTTTTTTTTTTTGAGTTGGAGTCTCACTCTGTCGCCCAGACTGCAGTGCAGTGGCCGCTGCCGGCCACCGCAGCCTCTACCTGCCGGGCTCCGGCATCCTTCCGCCTCAGCCTTCCGAGTAGCTGGAATTACAAGCATGCGCTACCATGCCTGGCTAATTTTTGATTTATTAGAGGTGAGGTCTCGCTGCCCAGGCGGGTCTCGAACCCGCGGGCTCAGGCAATCCATTCACCTCAGCCTCCCAAAGGCGCGGGATTACAGGCTGAGCCACCGAGCCCGGCTATGAAAACTTTTATATCTAGTTTTCAGAGGATGAGTCAGGCAAAAACTATTAGTGATTTCATTATTTGAAATTACTTATGTATCAGAAATATACCACCAATTTCCTACGGCACATTATATCCAATTTTACATGTAAATTTAACCTGGTGTTAATGATATGGAACCATGAATAACATTGCTTTTATAATATTTATGTAAAATATCAGTAATTGTGATGAACATTGATTATAATTTACAAAATTAGCTGTAATGGTTATATAAGATATTCTTGTTGGTAAAATGCCTTTCCTTTAAAAGGCAAACTAATGGCTAAAGTAATAAAGGTTGAATCAAAATCAAATTTAAAAGTAGGCTATTGCAGTTATTTTTCTAAATTGATTAGCTACCTGTAAAGTTTCTGAAAACAGAGATTGTTAGGGAATGAACATATTTTAAGTAGCAATAGCATACTGGAGGTACAATAGGGAGACTCCCAATTCTGTGATAAGGGCGAAATGGAAGGTTTCCACTTAATTTGCTTAAACCTGAAGGCCAAAATGAATAAGATAAGAGGAGCACTGGCTCTAGATATGACTCCATCTAATCTCTATTTTGCCACCCAGTGACTCTGAGACCTTGAGCTGTGTATTTAACCCTGTAGGATTTAGTGTTCATATCTGCAAAACATCAGCAACCAAAGCTACTTCTTAGGACAACATAAGGCTGCAATGTCAGTAAAGAGCTTGACTCAGTGCCTGACATCAAATATGTGCTTAATATTTATTAGATATTAACTACAGCAGTTATTGGGGGATTTTTTCTTACAAAGTCAATTAATAATAACATCGATCATCTCATTACACATAACACAACTACCTGCAAGCATATCATTCTAAGCCATAGTGGTCTTTTATTGGCAGGTAGGGGATCAGGAGGACTAAAGTCCCTGACATAGTGACCAGCACTGAGGCACTCAGTGAAAGTTTGGAAGATGAAAAAAGTTTGCAATTGAGTTAGTCCACGTTATTATGAAGACAAATCTCTATGCCTTTTTTCTCATTTTGCGTTGATAATAAGAGAATGGAAACCAGAATTCTGTTCAGACTTCCCTCCCCCCCCCACCTCCTGTCATATTTGCTTGTAAGGAAACAGGTATAACCAACCTTCATGGATAAAAGTAAGATAGTTGTGCCAAGTACTCTCTGAGAGTTGTTGCTTTAGGCTTGCCACTTCTTGCTTAAGAGATTCCAACTACCACTCAGAAAATCATGGAGCAAAAATGTTATAGGCCACATTGAACTTTTTTTATTTTTGCACAAAATAGTAATTCCTATCTTGAAATAACTGTTTACTTATATTATCCTGCAAGGTAAAGAGAGAGGGCTGTTCAAGTCCATATCTTTTTTTTTTTAATTTTAATTTTTTTTAATGCTGGTCTGTTTCGTTTGGTAGTGAGACTAACTCAGTGACTACTATTCTAGGCCAAAGATTATTCAATGGGATTCCTGGAAGCAGTATAGACATACGCTCTGAAATTGTTAGACATGTAAATTCTTGAGCTTCACCTAGGCCTACTGAATGTTAAGTTTTGAGAGCTAATACTCTAAGCATGTTTTCAAATACCTTGTATCCAGCTCTTTTTCCAATTACCTTCTATTTTGTGACTTGAAGAAACAGATGAGGTTCACATTGATAGTCATTAAACTCATCTAGCCTTTCAAAAGCGTTCAGCAATCTTCTTCTCATAAGGCCCTAATGCTCTGCAATGACTGTTTTACACCTTCTTAAAAAGCCAAAGCTTAGCCGGGCTCGGTGGCTCAGCCTGGAATCCCACGCCTTTGGGAGGCTGAGGTGAGTGGATTGCCTGAGCCCGCGGGTTCGAGACCTGCCTGGGCAGCGAGACTTCATCTCTACAGTAAATCAAAAAATCAACTGGGCGTGGTAGCGCATACCTGTAATTCCAGCTACTGGGAAGGCTGAGGTAGAAGGATGGCCGGAGCCCAGCGGGTCAAGGCTGAGGTGGCCGGGAGCGGCCACTGCACTCCAGTCTGGGCGACAGAGTGAGACTCCAACTCAAAAAAAAAAAAAAAAAAAGAAAGCCAAAGCTTTTAAAGCTACACAACTTTATAGCTGTGCAAGATGTGTATATTCAAGTCAAGCTCATGCTTGACTTGAAAGTGTGTATATATATGTGTATATGTATACACAACTTGCCAGGAGATGGCAGGAAAATATTTCAAAGAAGGTCCACCTTCCTCTAAGGTACAAAAGTCACAAATCATCTTATTGTCTACTAGCAGAGCTTCCTCCTCTGTCCTCAAAGCTCCAATTTTTACCTTTCCGCCAGGTTCTTCACTAGCAAGCAGCTGACATCGACTAGTGCTATCAGAAAAAATTCACTCATCTTCCCTGCTTTAAATCAGCTACTGGTATCTACACCACGTTCTCCTTCTTTCTCCTGTATCAATTACCTTCACAGGTTGGCCCAGCATGCTAGATCCTTTTCCAGAGCACCCATCCTTTTCTTACTCTTTCTCTTTTTAGATTATTCCTTTATCATTAAAAATCACTCTTCACTCCTTCTGCTCCACTGGAACTTTCCCCATCACCCAGCAGTGACCTCTTGCTTACCCAATGAACACCGTTCTGTCCTATTTTGTTTCTTTCTTAAAATTGATTTGACTATTCAGGACCCCTTGCAATATGAATTTGACTTTTTCCCTCAATCTCTGCAAGAAAGGTTAAGGTTCATTGGTGATCAATTTGTGTAAGTGGAATGGTTTTCATGATAAAAGTCAGCATCATGCTAAAGGATTATAAAAAATATTCTTATTAAGCTCAGGAACAAAACATATTAATATGTGTCAATATATTATGTTAATACTTTAATATTAGCATATTAATGACATTATTATGTTATTATTTTTATTATAGAACATTGTTCTAGAGGTATTAGATCACACAATTCGAAAAAAGAATGTAAACATATAAAAATCAGAAACAGAGATAAAAGTAACTCCATTTGAGCTATTATGATTGCATTAAAAAAAAAAAACTAACACTATGGTAACACTCAGTAAATTGACAGAGTATAAAATTATTATACAAAAATTAATAGTTTTCCATATGCAAACAAAACTAATTTAGTATATGTAATAAAATGAAAGATCTCATTTATAACAGCAGCAGAAAGATGAAAACACCTAGAAGTAAATATGAGAAGAAATATAAAAGGAAAATTTGATTAAATAAACTGTGATGCATTCATACTACAATGCAATGGTGGAAAATACTGGAATTATTTCCCTGAATTATGGTTAAATGAAAAAAAATAAGTACAGAACAGTTGTTATACTATTATTTGTGTAAAGGAAAGAGGAACATATATACATTAGTATATTTTATACTTGTCTATGCACAAAAATTCCTTGAGAGTAAATACCAGCTGCTAATGCCAATTATTCCTGGGGAAACAAAAGGTGACTGGGTCCAGGAAGGGAAAAAAGGTTTTTTTTTACCAGACATCTTACACAATTTTTAAATTCTACAATTAAGAAATCAGAACAGAAAAACAGCTATAAAATGACAGAATGTGGAAAAGGAGAGACAGAATGCAAATTTACCCAGAAGACCACTTTTGGATTTCCCTTCCACATTCATTCCTACCTAAAACTAGACTGTGAATTCAGCACATCATAATGTTAACCCTCCTCTGCATAACAGCAAATATATATGTATTTGATTAAGTCAGTGTGCCTGGTCTGCAATCAAACCAGCTTAACCAGGACTTAAGCTGAGGGTTCTATTTACTTAACAAACATTTACCTAGCTGTTGCCCTTACTAGGGCTTGCTGGGGATTGTTATATGCAGGCTAACTTCTTTAATCCTCATCAGATCTTTAAAAGGCAGATAGTATTGTTAGTTCCATTTTACAGATATAAAAAATTGAGACAAAAGGATGAATTACCTGAGGAGACAATGCTATTAGCGATATAGCTGAAATTTGGATCCAATCTGGCTTTTAACTCCATGCTCTTACCCACTGCCCACATGTGAATTCTAACTGAATTTGCAATTAAAGACTACATTTAGTTAGCTGCATTTCTTGTTAACAAATATTTTTCATTGAAAGTGTGTTATGCGTGTTACTTGTATTTTAAATAAGCAATGTTATTCAATTATTTTCAGTAAATTGTGTGCACTTGCAGTGGAAAACCAATACCACTTACACTCTAGTGTCTTGCTGTTTGGGTGTCCATCCTGATGCAATTTCCAGTACCGCAGCTGATCTAACTCACAGTTTCCAGTTCAAAGATGAGAATGCAAGGCTAAGGAATGGTTTATGCCTGCAAAAAGCTCTGAGAATCAGATGACTAAGAACACATTAATCATTTTGCTAAAGAAATAATTCAAAATTCAGAGGGTTGTAACCCCTGCTTCCATAATTTTAGAGATAATATTATTAGTTCGTGTTTTACTTTCATAGAAATGTCATGTCAAATTGTACCTTCATTTTTATTTCTTTTTAGGATTTCATCAAAGGTCTTTCTATTTTGCTTCGGGGGACAGTACAAGAAAAACTCAACTGGGCATTTAATTTGTATGACATAAATAAAGATGGCTATATCACTAAAGAGGTAAGAAATGCTTCACCAATACAGTTACCATTTAGACCATTTTTATTTTTTAACTGTAAAATATTAGACAAATGGCTGGGAATGGTGGCTCATGCCTATAATCCCAGCACTTTTGGAGGCCAAGGTGGGAGGAATGCTTGAGCCCAGGATTTTGAGACTAACATAAACAACATAGCAATACTTTATCTCTACAAACATCAAAAATAAAGAAAATTAGCTAGACATGGTAGCATACACTAGCAGTCCTAGGTACTTGGGAGGCTGAGGCAGAAAAATCCCGAGTCCAAGAATTTGTGCCTGTGGTAAGCCATGATCATGCCACTGCTTTCCAGTCTAGGCAACAGAGTAAGACCTATGCTAAAAAATGTATATACATTTTAAGAGATGTTATCTATGTATTACTTCTCAAAATTGAATTAAATTACGATAGCAATGTGTAGTATGATGTTCATTCAACTGTGCTTCTGCCATTTTCTTTGATTGTCCTACCTGTCGCATGGTACTCTAGCATTTATTTGATCAATACCACCTTTTGAATGAATGTCATACTTAAAATGTGTGTACACTTTTTGGCACCCCCTATAATTCTGTTTTATTTATTTATATATTATATATTATACACACACACACACACACACACACATATATAATACAATTGTAATTATTAAGTTGAAAATAGTTTTCTCAAGAAACCCAAAATATTTTATGTGGTGGTGGTGGAAAGATGTATTCTAATAAAAACTTTACAGTGAACAGAATTAGTTTATGTGAATCTCCAAAGTAAATATATAATGCATAAGGATCACACCCTTGTTTCCTACTGGCATCTTAATAAATACTGTAAAGGGAATAAAGACTGTGATTGGAGTAAGATGGAAAGAAAAATGTATCCAAACTATGTTTGAATATTTGGCCTGAAACCTGTATTATCCCCTTATATTGTGATTCACAAAGAAATGCAATTTTGCAATCATATGGATTGTGGATGACCTGATGCAATAGTTGGGTCTCCACATACACTCCGAGGCAGACTATCCAAGAAAGAGAAGGCTCACAGACCAAATTAAGATACTCATATCACATTCTTAATTAAACTAATTAAGGAGACTGTGAGAAGCAAAGGGAAAGAGACAAGCTAATCACACTTAGGATAAGGTACAGGTGGAGGTGAAAGACCACACTCCCTAAATGCTGGGCGTGTTCAGTTTTCCTATGTCCTATCTTTCTCTCTGCCTCGCTAGCCTTCCCAAGAGTTGAGTTTTAAGCAAGAGGCCCCACAGACAAAAGGTGCTTGGGACTAGCGGCCAATGACAAGAACTTGCTCTACTGGAGAGACACAGAGACAAGTGTGTTTGGTCACAGGTTATACCTTGACAAGCAGTCATGAGTTTTTTTGGTGTTTCCTGAACAGAAAACACATTCAGCCAGAATGGGTGTCATCAATAGGTGCCAAATTTAGACCTCATGAGTACTAAGTCTTCCTTCATGTATATGGAGTTTATGTGTATACTGAATAGTTAGTGCTTTTTGTATATTTTTTATACCATGAATATTTATTACCCAGGTGCTTCAGGAATACTAGGTATCTTTTGATCCTCCAATTCCTCTCTACATCTTTCTATGTCTAATACATCTCATGAACTCTGCCTATGTCTAAGAAACATCTTGTTACTTGTCTGTACTCAAAAATATCTTTAAAATTTTCAACTGCTTTACAAGCTACTTTATCATTTGTAATAGAATTGAATACTCTTAAAAGTAATCATATATTAGATCTGTATTATCAACCTAATCCAGAGACTTTTGATGTGAAGCAAACATGAACAATCAATATGAATGTCTAAGGTCTAAGTAATTATATATGTAATATATATTATGTAATATATATGTATATATATTACCCTCATAAAAATGAGGATGACAAGGCAAAAACTAGATTTTGTTTCAGTGAAAAAAATTTGTTTAAAAAAAGAAGCCGGGCTCGGTGGCTCAGCCGAGGCTGAGGTGAATGGATTGCCTTAGTCTGCGGGTTCAAGACCCGCCTGGGCAACCTGGCGAGACCTCATCTCTACAATAAATAAAAAATTAGCTGGGCGTAGTAGCACACGCCTGTAGTTCCAGCTACTTGGAAGGCTGAGGTGGAAAGATCACTGGAGCCCAGCAGGTCAAGGCTGGGTGACAGAGTGAGACTCCAACTCAAAAGAAAAAGAAAAAGAAAAAGAAAGACGAGTCAAAATATTTTAACTAGTCTTCATGTGTGAACTTTTCCATTGAGACCATAATAGGAAAAAAAAGCAACAAAAATCCTAAAGAGCTTTGAGAATTATCAATTAGTTTCAGTAATTCTAAATGGACTTTATTTCATTCTCAATGGTATGAAGTATGTTTGATTCTCAATAAATGGAAATTGATAATCAATCCCATAAGACATATTGTAACTCAATATAAAACAGATAATTTGTGTAAAGTCTATGGAAATCCAAACATTAAAACAGAATATTCCCTTCCTGACCATGTTAGATATATGGAAATTTACTTCACTTTGAAACCAATATCAGAGTTGATTCTTATACTGTGTTTCTGCTGCTTTTAAGGCAGACAGCTGTTTGTTGGCTTTCTCTTAGTCCCCTAATGAAGAATCTAAGAAAAACAATTTAAAGTTGAGTATGAAAAAAAATCTGTCAAAGCCTCTTAGACTGACTTCTTCATACATCGTGTGCAACCTCACATGAGTGCCTATTACTTTTCAGGAAATGCTTGACATCATGAAAGCAATATACGACATGATGGGTAAATGCACATATCCTGTCCTCAAAGAAGATGCTCCCAGACAACATGTGGAAACATTTTTCCAGGTAGGAATGAAAATAGAAGTAAGGGAGGGAGTGAAATTAAGAGCTAATTTCCTTATGTTTGTAAACACCATGATAATTCAAAAGAATGCAAAGGAAAATAATTTTCATTGAGACAAAACAATCAAACCATCCTACTAGTTTAATAATTTGGTTTTAGATTTATCCGAGCACTGATAACTACACTTACTGAACATTCACTAAATCCTAGTTAGAACACTAAGAAATTCTCATGTTTCACAAGGTTTTTTAAGTTTGTTTTTGGCTTTCGTAAAAACCCTATATGTTTATAAATCCTCATTAGCCCCATTTTACAGATAAGAAAACCCAGACTCTGAAAGTTGAAAACTAAGGTTCAGCAAATTGCCTGAGATCTAGAAGGCAGGATTTTTCCTAGAATAGAGTGACTCTAAGTTTGCACCATATTATATTGAAAATGTAGCAGCCTAAAAAGGATATGGCAATATAATTCTTATCTCCAAGAAACTGCTGGTTCCTACGTGAGACAGTTCCTTCCCATAAAACAAACATCTGGGCTTTCTTTTCATTAGCTTCAGCTCATTCAGTTCAGGTGTGAGGGTACCAAAGGGTAAGTCTGGATGAAATTTTGTGTTCTTTTCTTCCTGAACAGAAAATGGACAAAAATAAAGATGGGGTCGTTACCATAGATGAGTTCATCGAAAGTTGCCAAAAAGTAAGTAATAAAAGTAAAAGAACTATTCCCTTTGCTTTCATAACAGCAAGACTGAGAATTGCCCCACTAGCCACAATGAATCGAGCAAGCCATAAAGGTCATCCACCTAAGCTTACCACTTCAACAATAAGCAAGATATGCCTACCACTAAGAAAACAAGCGCCAGTTATACAATCAATCAATATTAGAGAGTGCCACTCTGAGGCAGGCCCTGTGAGAAGCCTTGGAAATGCATTAAGGGCACAAGTATTGTTTTTTGTTCCCCAAATCCTTTAGAGAGTATTCATCATTGAGGATAAAACCTATATAGGAAATTTGAATTACTCTTTTCCTGGACAAGCATATAACTTGTCTGTTATCTACTGTATCTCCATAATTAGAATTTCTGTATGGGAAGGTATGCATCACAGGCCAAGCTTATATTTGATTTCTAGAAGAAATATTGATTTAGTGTATGTAGACAAGAAATTACTTTTTGTTGGCCAGCACGGTGGCGGTGACTCAGCCTGTCATCCCAGCAATTTGGGAGGCTGAGGCGAGAGGATTGCCTGAGCCCGTGGGTTCGAGACCAGCCCAGGCAACTCGGCAAGACCTCGTCTCTACAATAATCAAAAATGTAGCCAGGCATAGTCGTGATGCCTGTAGTTCCAGCTGCTTGGAAGGCTGAGGCAGAAGGAACACCTGAGCCCAGCAGGTCGATGCTGGGGTGGCCGTGAGTATGCTACTGCACTCCAGCCTGGGTGACAGAGTAAGACTCCGATTAAGAAAAAAAAGAAATGGCTTTCTGTTGGAAACTGGTTATGGTCTACAGTCACAAAAAATGGAGTGGAAAATGTTCTTAGAAGAGAAATCCAATTACTTGTCATCTGAGAAACCAGTGTTGACTCATCTAGAATTATTTGACTTGATATAGGAGTAAAACCACAAACAAGAATTTTTGTATGTGTGAATTTTTAAAAATTTATTTATTTTTTAAGTACTTTATTATTTTTTTTTTTTAGATTCAAGGGGTACTTATGTTTGTTACAAGGTTTGTTACATAGGTATATTACGTGATATAGGTTTGGGCTTCTAAGTCTATCACCCAGATGGTGGACATGGTGCCCGTCAGGTAGTTTTTCAACACTTAACCCACTCTCTACCCTCCCCGCTTTAGGAGTACCCAGTGTCTGATGTTCCCATCCCTATGTCCCATGTGTATTCAGTGTTTAACTCACACTTATAAGGGAGAATATGTGGTATTCAGTTTTCTGTTTGTATAACAATTTGTTTAGAATAATGGTCTCTACCTAAAATAATCATGAGGACAGAGAAGGTTGCTGGTTTCTCTTTATTTTTGAATTGTTGCTTTTCATCTTTCCTGATTACTGCTTGTTCCTCACCTTGAGTTTCCATGTGGCCTTTGACTACAGTTAACTTGGTAACACTAACTTGCTTAATGGTGATGTTGTTACTTGGTTTCTAGAGGCAGAAGCCATTATTGGTTCAGCCACCATTTACCATTACTATGAAGAGCTTACTAATTGCCATTGACATACACTTGACAAAGTGCTCCAATAATGCCCAGTCTGTTCCCAAAACTCATTTCAGGGGCACATAGCCACTGGGGAATGATTTCTCCCAGTCAATCCTTTTTCTGGAATTGAGAGACTATTCATTTTTGATTTCATCATTATTGTTGTTTTTTGAGTCATAGTCTCACTGCCACCCAGGCAGGATTGCAATGGCACATTCACTGTCACCACAGCTTCAACCTGCTGGACTAAGGTGATCCTTCTACCTCAGCCTTCCTAGTAGCTGGGACTACAGGTGCTCACCATCACACCTGGTTAATTTTTTTTTTTTTTTTGGTATATAATAAAGTGCGGTCTCACCAAGTTGCCCAGGCTGGTCTCAAACCCCTGGTCTCGGGCAATCCTCTCGCCTCTGCTTCCCAAAGAGCTGGGATTACAGGTGTGAGTCACTGCAACCGGCTGACCATTCATTTTTAAAGGCTCCAAAAAGTCATACACATTTAGTCATAGCTAGCAAACATTGGGAGAGAGGTATGATTACTGCAAACATGTTTCTTCTTAATCCACCTCTCTGCTTCTCATGTTCTCACAAAGTGTTGGCTCATAACTCATATACAGTCTCCTTTTAAAAGTGTATAAAAATCTCTGTGATCGACCTGGAATGTCAAAATTCTCATTTTTACTTAATCTCGTTACCTCTCTAGTTTTTTTTCTGGCATTATTTGAAAAATATCGTCTATTAACACCAACCAAGTAAGATTTAAATAAAGTGTTTAATACCTGGAAGACGCACGAAACATAAAATGGGCCCTCTAGTAGTAATAATCTATGTGGAAAATGGGTAGAATGGCATTTGCACTTGCAAACACCCGATGTTTGAGCTTTTGGCACAGGCAGTTGGTGGGATGAGGCAAACTTAGGGGGCAAAGTTGTGTACTTTCCCTTTGCTGATATACTGAATTTTTCTATTTCTCCCTTGCAGGATGAAAACATAATGCGCTCCATGCAGCTCTTTGAAAATGTGATTTAACTTGTGAAATAGATCCTCAATCCAACACACAATGTGAACTATTCTACCACATAAAGTTGGAGCTACCACTTTTAGCATAGATTGCTCAGCTTTACACTGAAGCATATTATGCAAACAAGCTTTGTTTTAATATAAAGCCATCCCCAAAAGATTTGAGTTTCCCAGTTATAAATTTGCATCCTTTTCATGATGTCACTGAGTTCATGGGATGTTCTAACTCATTTCATACTCTGTGAATATTCAAAAGTAATAGAATCTGGCATATAGTTTTACTGATTCTTTAGCCATGGGATTATTGAGGCTTTCCCATATCAGTGATTTTAAAATGTGTTTTTTGCTACTCATTTGTATGTATTCAGTCTTAGGATTTTAAATGGTTTTCTAAAATATTGACATCTGCATTTAATTTCCAGATATTAATTTTCATGTTTGTATGTGTAATTCCATTTATATACTTTAAGTAAACAAAATTACTATGATTAACACATACACACACACACACACACACACACACACACAGTCTCAGTTTCTATAGATTTGCCACTTTCTGTTAGACATTAATTTATCTGGCATTTTAAAGTAACATTTAACAAATTAGTTTATTACCAGATATCAGCATATGCCTAATAAAGCTTATTTTAATAAGCATTTCTTAATTTTCCATAATACATATTATAGCTAAGGCCTATATAATATGTATAATTTTGGATCTGATCAATCTTACAGGCTGTTTTCTACTGTGTTATTAAGTGGAAGTTCGAGAAGGTATGAAACAAAACAAGTATGTTTACAGACATATGCAAAGGTTCAGGATCTGTCCTCCAGTCCACAGTAATGCTTAATAACAAGGACTCCTAACAGCTTCAAAGGCCAATTCAGTTCCTTTCCCTGACTTCCTCACAGCATGTTTTTATTACAAGCCATTCAGGGACAAAGAAACCTTGACTGCCCCCAATGCCTACTAGGGACAAACAACAAGCAGAATTCACTTTAAAGGCACCAGTGATTCCATTGAAAACTACTACCAAGATTTAGTAGAAAATGAATGTAAGTGCTGAACAACTCATCTGGATTATAGTATGATTCGTCATTACTCCAACAATTCAGATTCTTTTTAATGATCTTGAGCAAAAACTATAAGGTTGCCACATACTAAACATCTTCCCTGTTTTGTAGAAATATCACGAAGACCAAGAGGCTACAGTAGGAGGAAATTAGCAACTGTCTTTGCAACAATAAATCAGGTATCTATTCTGGTGTAGAGATAGGATGTTGAAAGCTGCCCTGCTATCACCAGTGTAGAAATTAAGAGTAGTACAATACATGTACACTGAAATTTGCCATCGCGTGTTTGTGTAAACTCAATGTGCACATTTTGTATTTCAAAAAGAAAAAAATAAAAGCAAATAAAATGTTTATAACTCTACTGTCTATGTTATAGGTCTTTATTCTAACAAATTTTGTGATTACTAGATTTAAAACATTACTTTTTTCTCATGGCATTTTCTAGATCGTAGACATCTTTGGGTGGTACTAAATGCAAGGAAGACAAGTAAAAGCAAGGCTGGTTAGCAGGCAGCTGAAATAGCTAGCATGAGGATTTGAAAAGGGTTAGAGACCTGAGAAAAAAGTGTGCTGGGCAAAGAGCCCAGGAATGACAAAAGCTCTGAGGGACGATGGGCATTTCTACATTAAGACTCCTGAGAAATTACTTGTATTCTTCAAAGTACAGCTGTGAGACTATATCTGAAATGAGAACAGCAAAGAGGTCACCTCCAAGTATTTAGGGGATAGAGAGGAAAAAAAAGAGCATTCTCTGATAATTCTGTAGTATAACACTGCTGCTCCCATATACAAGAGTGATCTCTCACCTACATCCCTACCAAAGTGTTAGTCAGCTCTGCATGTGGTACAGCTACTCCAGTCCCTTTGGCCTGTCTTCTTGCCCAAAAGATAGATCTTATTCTTGTTTTCTGTTTCTCTTACTTTATTCCTCTCTCTTGCAGAGTGATCTATAGTCAGCTTTTACTATATCAAAATTCTGAACTATGTCTGTAAATTATGTTTTACAAGCTTTTTTTTTAATTGCTGAACACAAGCAAGCATAACAAAATCACTGAATGCATATGAGTTTAAAATTTTAATTTCAGAATATCTTTATGTATACATCAGTATTTTCAAGCTATGAAACGTAAAAATAACATTTACTTAAATACAATTAATACCTAAAGTTTAGGTAGTTTTAACAAGTTGTAATAAACAACATACTTGTAACAGAATTTACACGGTTAGAAAACATTTCTTAAACTGGAATACTCTGGTAAGAAATTTTTCCAAGCATTCTCCATTATAAAATACATATTTACAAATAATAATAATATATTCACAAACATTTGACCACCGTTTTATATTTCTATAGCCCCAGTAAATATAAAACCCAAGAAATGGCAAAATATCTATAAAAATAAGTGCATGTCTACAAAGTAATAGCAAAAACGGGTGTTATAAATTAAAAGGCACTAGAAAATACAAACACAGCTGATCTTGCAAACTCAGTAATGGTTCTTCACACAAGTGAGAAAAATATGAAAAAGGCCCAGAAAATTGTACTATTAAATAATTTCTTTTAATAGCTTTCCATTATCAACTGTTCTATTTTGTTGATGAATAACTTTTATTATGATTCAATGCAATTGTATATACTCATCTTAACTCAGTAAATAATGAATGGTGGCTGTGATTTACAAAATAATAAAATGAACTGAATAAAGTTCCATGGGTACCCGTGGTCAGTGTTTGATACATGTCATCAGGTAGTAAGATGACTTTTGTTGGCTTTCTTCTTCAACAGCATATGGAGCAATATGTTGGAATTTTAGATTTGATGATGAAAAGGCTTCCCTGTCAACAGAAAAAAATTCACCATCATTAACATCACACAGAGTTCCCTCAGTAGGAATTATATTTTCAAGAATATACCTGAAAGGTGTCCAAAATTCAAAACAAAACAAAAAGGGATGAAAACAAAATGATGGAATAAGAAGTGCTTTTCTTTCTGAGTTAAATAGCTTCTACCAGTCACTTCTTTGTCAAACCTGGGTTAATGACTTCTCTGTGCTTCAGTTCCTTGATCTTTAAAGGCACGTAACAATAAAATCTACCTCTGGGCCAGGCTCAGTGGCTCAGCCTGAGTCCCAGAACTTTGGAAGGCTGAGGCAAGTGGATCGCCTGAGCCCGCAGGTTCAAGATCAGCCAGAGCAACTTGGCGAGACCTCGTCTACAATAAATAAAAAATAAGTCAAGTGTGGTAGCACGCATAGTTCTGGCTACTTGGAAGGCTGAAGCAGAAGGATCGCTGGAGCCCAGCAGGTTGATGCTGGGGTGGCTGTGAGTATGCCACTGCACTCCAGCCTGGGAGACAGAGTGAGACTCCAACTCAAAAAAAAAAAAAAAAATCTTACCTCTGAAAGTTGTGAAAATTAAATAAGTTTAATGTCCAAAAAGTACTCGCAGAGTATCTCTCATGTAATAAGTTCTCACTTACTCAATAAAGGTTGAGGCTTACATAAGGTGCACCTTTTTCCAAGAGAAATGTACATATCACTTAGAAAAAAAATTACACCAATTTAAGGCAGATAGTAAAAAGGTCAGTTCTAAGGAAGGAACACTGTGACTATTTGTAACAGATATTTTTGTTTCCTCAAAATTTGAGTCTTTCCATGACTGTGATACACATAAGCTCTAAGAAATGAAACTGCAATACTGAGGACAACCTTTTCTAGACTTATTTCTAACATTTAAAGAAAGTGAAAGCTATATAAGCTTTTAAATTCTTAGAATAGAAAGAACATTCATTAATTTCATAAAGGGTTACAAGGTACCAAAAGCAAACACAATAATATTTGAGCTAAGAGAAAGTCTTTGATACATAATTGCAACAGAAAATTTTCTACTGAAATCACATTAATTATTATTAAAATATTATATAGGACATAGAAGGGAATAAGAAGAGTCAAAAGAAAAGAAACAATACTTAATTAATAGCCCTTGTAACTACCAAAATCGTTCTTTAAATTCTGTATTAGCAACACTTAAAACTGGTAAGATTGGCAAAAAAAAAAAAAAAAGAGAAGAGAATTCACTATTTCTGAGATCTTGGATTGGTTGACTATACCTCTGTATTGCCCTTCTAAATCTTTTTTTTTTTTTTTTTTTTTTG